CCAAAGATGAAATTATGTCTTTTAAAAACCTCCATATGCCATCTGGTAAAAGGAGAATATGATTTTTTGATCATATGATCTACGAAGATTTATTAGTGGTGACCAACCCAGTTGTTGAAGAGTTGTTGGGAAATTTCATGCAAAAATTGTTAAATGTTTTACGGCGAATATGATAAATGTTGCTTCGACGACAGTTTATTACAAGGACCCAGTGCATTGATAGTACTCATATCAGCTTATTTGGTTTTTTGGACCTTATTTCAAACTTTATATCTCGACATTAAACACGAGTATTTTTAATGTGTAAATTGGTCAGTAGAATGATAATTAACCGCTAAAAAACCATTTTCCTACTCAACAGCCCGTCAAACCAATGGTCTCACTACAAACCCAATATAAAGTATTCATAACGTTATGATCATACCGTACTGAATTTTGGGGTTCAAACAAAATCAGTGCGTATGTTTATTTCCTTGGTGATGTAATGTAAATATATATAGGACTTTGACAATATTTTTAGCTCGTATTTAATTAACTCAAAAAAATAAATGAAGACATTTTTAATTCGAAGAATATTTGGTATAATACAATGTTATAATTTTTTTTTAGAATTATAAATGTCAAAAAAATATCCAGAATACTAGTTTTGTTAACGTCTTGAATTCATTTCTAGGTAAAAAAAAAATAGCAACAACATCCTTAAATTATTCAAACAAGTTGTGTTTATCAACATAATATAATCGTAACCCCAATGGTGATATTTTATAGAAAGTAACATACAGTATTTATTTTTGAAAATAAAGGATATTTTGATAGGCGAATCCACTAATACATTGTGAATTAATCACCTTTTTTTCATCAAAGTTCCAAAAGATTTTCTTTAACATTAGACCAGAACACATAAAAGCTTGCTTTTATGAAAAAAAAAAAATAATAATTTGCACACCCTGCTATTCGATCGATATAGTACGAAGATTATTTAGCAAAAATGCATCAAGAAAGGTGATGTCGTTAATGCTTAAAAGAAAAAATAGAACACGTTATTTATTTGATGTTTTGCGACCCTATACAAAGTTCATACATTTAAATAAAAAAATAATTAAATGTAATTGAATTCGATGAATCGGGAAAAAAAGGGTTTTGTGCTACAGGGTATGAATGAAGAAATAAAGTTATATTCGAATAAAGTTTATTCAAATCAAACGAATGATTCGTAATTAATTTGATTATTCGAATTGCATTGGAAGATTAAGATAATATTAAGAATACGATTAATTTAATTGAGTATAATGTTAAGGAAAAAATTCTTTCCAAAATATTACAACGCTAATTAACAACCTTATCAATTCTAACAAATGTGCCTACCAAAAGAAATGATATTAAAACTGCACAGTTTAGTCTTGTTATTGATAATGATAATTATTCTTTTTGCCTGCTTTTAGTGGTGATTTCAATACAGGCGGTAATATTAAACATCAAAATAGTAGAATTAATTTATCAATCTAAGACTTATGCAGCTAGGTTACACGTGCCAGTATTGATTGAACTTTAATATTTAGGGTTTTTAATATTGTTTTAAATATGCATCCACTGTGATTATTTTTATAATTATACAAAGCCTCATTATTATTTTATCATGTTCTGCAAAAATCCATGAAAATTATATTATAGTAAGTGAATCTGTCAATCAAACTTGGCAAGTTAATGTAGAATCTGGTTTTCAGTAAGTTGCACACAAAAAGATTATTTGCTCTATTAATATTTTGAAATTTATTTCAATGAAATGTTCAAATTGAATAGTGATTCAATAACTTTGGAAAAGTATTTCAAGTTCGTAAAAAAGACACAAATCGTATTTATGCAATGAAAGTTCTTCACAAACAAGATTTGATCGAGCGTAGAGAAGTTGAACACACATTAGCTGAAAAAAATATTCTTATCAGAGCCGAATCTTGTCCATTCTTGGTTGGTTTGAAATTTTCTTTCCAAACTCGTACTCATCTCTACTTGGTCACTGATTTCATGAACGGTGGTGAATTGTTTTGGCATTTACAAAATGAAGTAAGACTCAGTGAAGAAAGGGCTAAATTCTATGCTGCTGAAATTGTTTTGGCTTTAGAACATTTACATAAATATAACATCGTCTATAGGTACATATTTATTTTTGATACACATCTATACTAGATATATATATATTTAAAAAAAAAA